ACGGAAGACTGGAACAAACGAAATATTTCGAACATACTTTTGCAACATATGTGTGAAACATATGCAACATCCGGATCAAAACACTTGCATCATACGTCTGGAACAGATAAAATATTTTGAACAAACTCTTGCAACATGTCTCTGAAACATTTGCAACATCATACTTTTTGCAACATCCATATGAAACAACTCCAACATACCTCTAAACGTCTGAAACACTTGAAACATATATTTGCAACATAGGGGAGGGAAGCCTGTGTCGGTCAATTCCTGCCGTCAAGGTGGGAGCCGGCGGCGAGTGCCGGTGCGCGAGCACCACTAACATCAGCACCAGCGGCGCGCGCGAGCACCATCGCCACCAACGCCATCAACACCAGGCTTGGGTCGCTCGGGCGGGCGGTGCGCGTGACAGGTGGAGCGAGCACCACCAGCACCACGAGCGAGCGGTGGCGGATAGGGCGCGTGGTAGCATGAGGGAAGTGCGCGTCTGCGTCTACGACGGGCAGCCGCAAGGCGCTACGACAGGGGAGGAAGCGAAAGGGATAAGGATGGATGGTTTTTTTAATAAACTCGCGGGCAGAGCGAGCGGTGGGGTAAAAGCGCAAGCAATGAGGCGGGAGCATCCGACGATTTACTCGTATCGGACGTAAGATGCGTAGCATTACCGATAAATCAAACCATACTGGTCCCTTTGTTCAACTTTGACACAGACTGGAGCTACTGCAAAGAGATCTTTGCCAAAAATACAATACATGATTACAAATTAGATAGTGCACATGAGCATGTTAATCACTCCTAGATTGAAAAGAGTACCACTAGTTGGAGGAAATAACAAATGATAAGACGTGTATGGCGTGGCTGATGGAGATCCAATCTTGTGATTGCAAGTTGATGCAAACTGGCCTGCTAGTGTATCGGGTTAGATTCGGATCATGGTCTTCAATTCATGATCTGACCTCACCCAATCAAAAGTAGAAAAATTCTAGAAAATGGTCATGTTTGTTTCTCTTATAATTCGTCTTTTTAACTTATTTTTTTCAGCTGGAACAATATTTTCTCTCACAACAAATCAGTCGGAACAATATTTCGGCTTGTTTTTTCAGTGAACGAGGCCAGTACTCTAACACGATTCGATTTGTCAGTGCGTTGGATTGGGCTCGGACCAAATATGTTAATCTGACACTTTTTTTTTTACTTTTGACCAGGTCTAGTTCCAACGCGGCGTCCACGAGCGCCTGACTTGTATGGAAGAGATGGGTGTTTGGAGCGCGAGGGTTGCGATTGCGAGCCAAGTCGAGTTAATATCCCAGGCGTCGCCGTCTCGCGGTACGCATGGTCAAGAGATCCACGTGTCGTGAATCGGAACAGAGTTCTCGTGGCTGTCCACGTGGAACTGTCCCATGCATTTTTTTTTCTCCAGGAAATAAAGAGGTTGGCCACTGTACGACGACCGAATGGTGTGGCCAGTGGCCACAAGCATGGCACTGCAAGCGTTCTCAGTCTGTCAGTCAAGTCAACTCTGAACAGCGACATCAAAGCCATCAGATTCGTTGAACTACGGAGGAGTACTATATCAGCCCTGTTTAGTTTCACCTTAACTTTTAAAAAGTTACTACAGTACCTATCACATCGAATGTTTGCGGCTCATGCATAACGCATTAAATGTAGACGAAAAGAAAAACTAATTGCACAGTTTAGTGAAAAATTACGAGACGAACGTTTTGAGCCTAATTAGTCCATGTTTAAACACTATTTGTCAAATAAAAACAAACGTGCTACAGTAGCCCCACAATCCAAATTCGTACAACTAAACACAGCCTCAGTTCAGAATCACGTACTAATCAGTTTACTGACATGGAATATCGACAGATGAATTGTCTGAAGACTGAAGTAGAGGAATCAGCAGTCAACAGGTCGATCGAGTGACCAGCGCTGCACGTCTGCGGCCCGCACTAGGACAGTTGCAGTTCAGTCGGTGAAACTTCAGCTCCGACGACCTAACGTCTCCGCTACACATCGGCAATTGTATAGTACTCCTACTAGAAGTAGTAGTAGTAGTTTACGTTCGCAACGTAGTAAGGTTTATTACTTTATTACTCGACGTATTTGATCCAAATGGACTGTATTAAATTCTTTTTATTACTCGACGTATTTGATCCAACAGCCTGTTTGTTTGGCTTTGGCATGTCGTAAACGATCATAAATTTTCAACCGGAACATTATTTTTCTCTCACACTAAACCAGCCAGCAGTACTTCTTCATGAACCAGCAACGATACGAACCAGCCAACCGAATAGGCTGCAAATGGACTGTATTAAATTCTTTAGGGCCCGTTCGGTTACACTCGTTCCTGGCCGGAACGGTTCCTGGCGATGCTTGGGCTGTATAAAATACGGCAGCGATCCTGGCCGGATCGATTCCAGGAGTCAATCCCGTGCGAACCGAACGTGGCCTTAGAAGACTTTCAGCATGTTCGTTTGCTCGTATACGATCGTGGATTATAAGTTGAAACAGTATTTTTCTCTCATACCAAATCAGCCAGCAGTAAATAATCCACGATCACGATGAGTGTTAAAGCATATTGTAAAGCGCAGGCGGCTTTGAGGCAAAACCGTTTTTTCCGTACTTGAATAAGGCATGTGGCTTTGACTTGACCTCGGATCGGTGTTCAGTCACAGCGTCTGCCAAACGGAAGCTGCGGTACCGAAGGCGGTGCCCTACATGGCAGAAAAATTCAAACTTGGCCTGATGCAAACAAGTCGTGACAAATTTCCTCTGACACACTGCCTTGTGATATTCAAAGCTGACATTACGTGGAGCTTTTCAATATTCTTGTGTTTTTACTCATGACTTGTCTGTGTTAATGGTTTGCCCCGAACAATCTTCATACAGAGAAAGGAATGATATTTTGTAGATGCTTTGCACTCCATTAAAGTGCGGGCCTGGTGCAAGCGGTCTTACCGTCTGTGACCGAAAGGTCCTGGGTTCGAATCGTGGTCTCATCGCATTGCACAGGCAAGGATAAGGCTTACCACTGACATCCTTTCTCAGATCCACACAGAGCAGGAACTCTCTGTACTGGGTACGCCCCTTACGCCATTTGCACTCCGTTCATTGGCTTTCAGGAGTAGCAAAGAGTCATCTGCAAACAATAAGTGGTTGATACTCAGGCGCGTTTTGGCACACTTTAATTCTACACAAGTCCCCTGTAGTTTCTGCTGAAAATAGCAACATGAAAAGGCTACAGCACATAACAAGAAAAGATAGGGGACAGAGGATCTCCTTGTTGAAGACCCCGTTGTGGACTAATTTCTTCAATGAGCTCGCCATTAATTTGATGCGATATCTTACTGTAGTCACACAATTCATAATAAGGTCAATCCAATTTTCGTTAAACTTAGGCTGCATCATCATCCTCAGGAAGTTCCATTCCATTCGGTCACATGGTTTGCTCATGTCTAGTTTGACAGCTGCATACCCATCAAAAATTTCGGATCCTCCCTAAGGTTAAACTTAGGGGCGTTTAGACACAGTGTGTCATTTAATAAGTCTAATTATAGACTAATTAGATTCAAGCACAACATTTTCAGTAATATATGAGTCTTCTGGGTCCAAAGGCACTCTGATTTAAAGAAATAATGTCAGGCTGCAAGATGACCTCAGGAAGTTCGATTCCATTCGGAACCTTTGAGGCAATCTATATATCTAGTTTGACACACAAACCATCAATTGGTCTGAGATCATTTAATGGCTTTAGTAATATCAGTCTTCTGGGTTCGGCACCTGATTTAAAGAAATAATTAGATGATTAGGATTTGATAGAACCTTTGAGGCAATCTTATATATCAAATTACACAAAGACATCCTGGCTTTATCAGGGTTGCACCTCCGAATTAGGGGGGGGGTTGTTTGAGATCACCAATATCATCTAAGGCCTCTTTAATTTCCTCCATTGTATACTCTTTCAACAGAAAGTTATTTATATCAGCTGTCACCTTTGATTGTACATGGTCAAGCAGCTCATTGTGGCCCCGTTCGGCTGGCTGAATTTGACTGAAAAACAATATTCCAGCTAAAATGTTGTGAGAGAAAAACATTGTTCCGGCTGAAAAAACATGATGAATAGTGTCGTTTTTTGGTAAGCCGAACGGGGCCACATGTAGCGTGAATCTGCATGAGATTCAAAAAGATTTGTACAGAAATTAGTGATTAATTTCCTCCACTGTATACTCTTGATCCATTTCTTAATTCGTAAGCAACCTCCACTCATCAATCGATTCCACGCCACGGCGCTAAGCAACCGCTAGTCCGCGATTGCTTAACCCAGTCGCTCAACCACTCGCTCCCTACGTTAATTGCCCAGGTCCACATCGCGCCTTCAATTCCAGTAACGAAAGGGCATGTTTGGCTGGTATTAAAGTCGGCTTAATCAGCTGAAACTGATTTGATGTAAGAGAAAAATACTGTAGATTTTTGCTAATAAATCAGTTTATAAATCAAGCGAACGGACCAAAAGTCGAAAACGCCACGACTTGGCTTGGCCAACCTGTGCGTACCACCGCCAAACACGCACAGTACTATACATGTCAGAACAATGCACATGCAGTCGTTGATCACTCCTAGGCCGAAGCAAGAAAGAGCACAGGTGCATACACGTCACTTCCAAAAGTTTCCGATAGGATAGGCCACGCCGCGACGCCGGGAACGGACCGCGTCCAAGCCCGCCCACAGGAGGCCACGGCCACAGGTGGCGAGCCGAACCCAGCTCCTGCAGCGCACACTAAGCAAAAGGCACCACGTTTCCCGCCGTGGCGGCGCGCGCGGATGTGGATTGATCATCCATCCATCCACCGATCGGCACCGATGCACCTCAGCCCGCCAACGACTATAAAGGCACCAGGCGCCAGGCGCCAGGCGCAGCGCTTCACAGTTTTCACACCCACCGCTACCACCACCACCGGATAGGGACACGGCACTAGCGTAGAGAAAGGGAGAGAGAGATGGGGGCGGATCGGTTCCTGAGCGTGGCGGAGGGCGGCCTCGGCGGCGAGGTGCTCTACTGCGCGGTCATCCTGTGGCTGTCCGTGATGTCGTGGATCATCTTCACCTGGGTCGGCGACGGCGGGGAAGCAGACGGGAGGAGGGGCAGGAAGCGCCGGGGCGGCGGCCGCGGCAGCCCGGTGTTCGTCGGCGCGTCGGGGCTCTGCGACGGCACCGGGCCCGGCTGCAGCGGCGGCTACGGCATCTGCGGCACCTGCCTCGACTAGCCGCCCCCGTTCGCGCGCGCCTGCCCGCCTGCTCTGCTACTAGTAAGTTTGTGTGAGCGTCAGCGCGACCATGTTTGCAGCATCTACATGTCGTCGTCGTCGTCGATGTGTGGCCTCGATCGAACTGGCGAGCAGAGGCAGCTCCCCTGTGTGAAGACAATAAGAGGGAGCCTAGTCAGTCAGTCAACTTCTTCGATCTTGCTTCGATCGGTTGCACAAACGGAGTTGTTGCTAGCTTCTTTTTTTGCGCTCCTTTGATGTTTATTCTCGATCATCTGTAAATTTTTAAGCTGCAAAAGTACCCGATACATGTCTTGAACAGTAGTATGTGAGATGAGATCCTTCGTCGGCAAGGTTACTTGTCTACTGAGTTTAGCGGCTGTGTGCTGTGGAGGATTTCTCTTTTTGGGGAATGGAAGGATAGTTGGGCACATGTCGTTTTCAAGTAGACAATTTGCACTAGTTAATTGCGAGTCCAGCAGCTTTCGGCAAGCAAGCCGAAAAAGCTCTCGTTTCCTCCACACAAACCACTGTTGGAGGGGGAGCAGAGCAGGCTGCACAAGAAACGTCGTTAAGGAACAGTGAAGGCCCTGTTTGCATGATGATTTGTTATCGTTTAATATACGGTTTTCAGTTGTGTATCCTTCTAGTACCTTGTGCACAAGAATAAATGACCGACGAAGATAGATACTTTTCAGCCTGGCTGGCCACGTAGATATCGCGCGACTCAGGGAAGCCCGAGGTGGCGTTCAGCTGTCGTTTTTGTTCTTCTCTTGCTTCATCCGCCGTTGCACATGGTCTTGATCCTCGTGGTGCGCATGGCATCGTTTGTTGATCGTAGCCTGTGCATCTCTATCTATCTTCCCAAACTCGATGGTTGGTAGAGTGCTCACGTGGCTGTGGGTTCGCTGCTGGTCGATGTTCGCCCATACCCTCCCTCAGCGGAGCTCGATCGTGCTGCTGTTGACTGGTCTCTAGGAGTCGTGTCAGCGTTGACTCCCTCGGAGGAGGTGGCTGACTACAAGACCGTGAGGCCACTGAGGTGCCGACTCGGCTGCTGCTCGTGCTGCTCAGGCGTCAGGCCAATGGCTGCTTGCCTGATGCCTTGCCGCCTCAGGTGGCGTTTGGATTGTGGGAAATGGAGCCTGGGACAGGGATACGAGGCTAGATGGAAATCATATCGGATTCAAGGATAGGGAAATAGGAATGGGATAGGGATAGGGACAGAGATAGAGATATGCCGCTGATTCTATCCCATTCGCTTTGGGAGGGGTGGGTTTCCATTGGGAAATGAAGCTATTGCGTTGTACATCTTCGATTCGATGGGTGAGAGGATGAAGAGCAGCCACACTTGGTGGAGGCGCTGCTCATCTCGTGGAAACAGGAGCTACTGGTGTCGCCGCTCGGGCCGCCGATGCCACAGCCATGGCTCGCATGTGCCGTGGCGCCGCTGGAGCAGCCGTTCGCCTCGGATGCGCCGCGCCGCCGGAGCAGCAGCCGCTCGCCTCGGATGCGCCGCGCCACCGGAACCGCCGCTCGTCTCGCATGGGTCTAGCTCGAAGCCGCTCGCCTCAGATGCGCCTCGCTGCCGGAGTCGTAGCTGCTTGCCGCGCCGCCAGAGCACGGAACTAAGCTCGACTCAGCACGTTGGGCCGCCGGAGCTGTCCAGCTTGGCTCGCCGGAGCCACCCTCACCTCGCTCGCGCGTGGAGCCGTCGTCGTCTGGCATGCGCTGCAGCCGCCGCCGCCTTGCTCTCGCGGTGCTCACAGCTCACCAGGCGGGCGGGCGGTGAGTCCGTGCGAGTGGAGATGTGGATGGATGGATAAGGACGGACTGTGCGGTGCGGGCAGGTCGTGAGTTCGTGTATTTTTTTTTGTTCCTTTCTTTTTTTTCTACCATGTATATATGTGGGGCCCGCCTGAAACCCAAACCGTTATTAGCCGAATCGTTCCCAGTCCATCGCTTATCCATATCGCATATTCTCGCTCATGTCGCAGTTATGGATGGCAGAGGGGCATCGGCAAATGGGATGATTGGGCCCTCAATCGATGATGGCCTAAACCAAAGCGAGTAGCTGGAGCTCGAATTATGGACGGGCTAAGGCGGAGGCGTGGAGCTCGAGGGGGCGGAGGCATGGAGCGACTAGACCATAGTTGAGGTGGTCAGCTGGTCGTCCCCACCATGCCCTTAGGGCATGTTTGGGGAGCTCTACGCCTCCATCAGATCTAGATTAAAAAAATAGCTCCAATAAATAAAAGGTTATCCAAAGGCTCTAGATCCATCAAATTTGGATTCTCTAAAACGGTGGATCTAGGGACTAGATTCACTATTTTGGTGGAGCTCCTGAAGTGGTGCTCCACGAAATGGTGTTTCTTACCTTTCTTGTGGAGTTGGGTGGGAATTACCCACCATTGTCATTGGTTACACACCCCATCTACGTATAGGTTCATTCTATTGTAGTTTCTTCGTCTTCCCCACTCGACCGAACGAAAAAAAGCACCACGCCTCTTCCTCCCGTCGCGGCCAGGGAGGTCGTGTCCACCCACCTCCTCCCTTCGTTCTGCTACTCCGGTGAGCCGCCCATGGCCCGGATCGGATAGATCTGGCCCCATGGTGGAAGAAGATAACAAAGGTGAGTGTTCGATTATAATACTATGTATGTTTCTTGTTATTTGCAATTTAAAAAAATTCTTATTTCGAACCATCTCACATGTTTTAGAAAATTCCTGGTGTTAGCAAGTTTAAAAAGAAGCCTCTCCAAAATGAAGATGACTTGAAGGTGATGGTTGGCAACCTCGCTAATGAGGAGCAAGATCATTGGAATCCTATGAGTTTCAACCCCATCATACTCCTTGATGATGATATGTATATTGTGACATACCCTTGATGATGTCAAAGGCGATGATTTTTCAAAATCGTCTTTGGTGGTGCTATGCTTGCTGAAATTTATTTTGACATGTACATGTACCTAGATAAAAACCCAAGGACTTCAACCAATAGTGGCATGGGGCTTTTGCTACGAATGCCATGATCAACTTCGTATGAGCAATGAAATATTCGAGGTCCTCCGGGGTGTATTAGTGGAGAGGTACGGGCTACAACCATCCTTGCATATGACTACCTATGAGAGCCTTGTCGTGTTTTTATTTACTAGGAATTTTGATGAGGTCCTTAACACTTTGATGGCCATGGCAAGGGATTTGATTAGACCTAAGGATTCCTATGGTTCATAGGAGGATAAGAGATGATAGACAAGCGTATCCACATTTTAAGGATTGAATTAGTGCTCTAGATGGCACACATATTTAAGTTTCTCTTTCACCCAATGAACAAGTGAGGTATATTGGGAAAATGGAGATAGCTGTAGCAGAACTGACCAATTTATAAGAGCACAAGTATAATGGCAGCCCGCAAGCGGTCGCACTATCATACTTGAGCCAATATAAACCCGGTAGTCCGTCGAGTACCACGATGGGTCTTGATTAACCATCAACATACAACCAAGATCGTACATGAATCAACATACATGTCACATGTTACATAAAGTTCACAAATACAGTTCATTCATCATAGTACGAATAAGGTTATTACAAACCAAGTTCAATAAATAGTAGCGGAAGCAAATTAAAGTTTGAAGCTAACATTTGCCATCATAGTTCAAATACAGTGCCAGCTCATGATCACATCCACAAAAGCATATGAGAAGTATTAATAAGAGATGCCTGCCTAGTGCTCACTCCTCGCCCACGGCGGGACAGAAGCAGTTCTTGCAATAGCCGTGATAAATGGTACCATCTGCAATAATGGGAATAAAACCCTGAGTACGAGAATGTACTCAGCTAGACTTACCCATCATAAACCAAAAATCAAGTGACTCCAAGGATTATGCAAGGCTTTATAAGTGGAGGTAGCTTGACAACATTTTGCATAAAAAGCGATTAGCTCAGTTGTACAATTATAATACGATCATCAAGTTAATTATAGCTATTCATCTCTAAATTAGCAACTAACCTGTGCCAAACATGTGGTATGTCATTTAGTAGCATACAATAGTAACCATATCCGGTGTAGTAATTCTAAGTTCATCCGAACCATCATATTCCATGACACAGTTACTACGATGTTGGAGCTAGCCAAGTTTCTCACTGTCCCGGAGAGACGGCGATTCGAATCGATTTCAACCAGCTGGGAATTTATTCCTAACACAAACCCAGGTAGACCAGATCAATGCAAGACCAGCAAAATTGAAATCACAATTTTATCACCTTTCTAGCTCAAGTTATGTATTTTACAAGATATACACTACTTTAAAAGCACTTATCTTGCCCAATTTAATTCTCTTAGAAAAATACTCTAAACAGTATATTTTATATTTTTATCAAATACTACACTTCATGAGGAATCCAACAAAATTTGGTTCACCAAAATTGGACACTCCTAGCTTGAGATATGAATTTTTGAAACATGCATTCAAATTTGTGAAATAAATCAGAAAATCAAACATCATACAAACTGACAGTAGGGGCCCGCGGTCAACGGGGACCCACCCGTCAGCGAGACCACGACAGGGGACGACGCTGACTGGCAAGAACTCGTCGACGGTGAGGTCTCCGGCGATAGCGTCTTCACCGTTGCACTCTTCTCACCCCCGCACATCGACTGGTAGATTTAGTTGGCTAGGTGGCTCGCCGGAGCAAGCTCGATGACGGCCATGGCAGACAGCGGAGGTCGATGGTGGTACACCATCCATCTCTGTCTATGGCACACTTAAGCAAGGACGGCTACTCTAACCTGGTGACCTAGCGAAGCTACACGGTGTTGGTAAGGGCTCGAAGTGGCGCCGGTGAGCTTGGCCGCACGCATGGTCGTGCGACGACGCACGGAGCACGACAGTGCTCACGCTGTTCTGACTAGACGGCGGTGAAAGGCTGGTCTCCGTCATGCCACTAGTGAGGTCTAGGGTTACTTGACCTAAGGCATGATAGAAAGGAGGAAGACGG